ACCCCCCCCCCCCTCTCCCAATCTCTCACACTTCTCCATCTTCAATCTCTTCTTCTTCCCAATTTTTAGAATTCGAAATCACTCCCTCTCTTTTCAGCATGAATCCTTCCGGCTCCGGCTTCTTTCCCGACAATCTCCCGTCGAGCGATGCCGCGATGTGGTTGTACCAACAGTGGGGCGATCGACCGCCGATCTACGAGACGCAACAATCGGGGTACGTCGATCGAGATTCGGTTCTGGAGACTCAACTGGAACCATCCGGGTCGAAAAAAAGTACACGCCGGAAGAGCCACAAAGCCAAAAGCACGTTGACCGAGGCAGCACAGTCAATCCAAAAGTGGACGCCGGAGGAGTGCATATTGGCGTCGGCTTGGGTTGACATCTCCGAGCATCCTATCATTGGTAATAAAATTATTTTTCTAATATATTTATGTTTTTATTTATATATATTATTTTTCATGGTGTCTAGAAAAATTGTGTAATACATTTTTAAAGGTTCGGAGCAAACGAAGGATGCGATGTGGGATCATATCGAGGAGAAGTTCTTCACGGCGATGAACAAGGACAGCTCCTACCCAACCCGGGACCAACTCACTTCCAAATGGAGCCACATCAACCGTAAAGTCTGAAAGTTTATCAGAGTTTACCAAGGAATGCTCTCGGTCCGGAGGAGCGGGACGAACGACACTGATGTTCTCCGGCTTACCACGGCCCGGTATCAAGACGACGGGCACCAAGGCAAGGTGCCTATCGATCTTTGGAGAATTTTGAGTCGTTTCCCGAAGTGGCAACAACTCAACAATCCCGGCGGCGGATCGTTCCGAAAAAGATCCACCGTCAACGCCGAGGTTGAGGTCGACAACTATTAGTTCAACCGATCAAATCCCTCCCTTCAACGTTGCGGATTCCAATGATGAGGATCCCATTCCACGGCCGATTGGAAGAAAGATGGCAAAATCCATTGCCTCTGATTCATGAGGGTCCGCTTTTGTTTCCGCTTCTTCCCGCGACGAAAATCGACCGGGAAATGGTTGAACAACTTCGGGCGTTCAATCTCCAAGAACAAGAGAGGTTGAAGCTAAAGGAGAAGGAGTTGAAGCTAAAGGAGCAGGAGGCCGAGATGAAAGTCATGCAAACTGACCCCGGGACGTTGTCGGAGATTGGACGAATGATCTACGAGCAAGGAATAAGAGAGATCAAGGAGAAATATAATTTACCTTAGTTTTTTATTAATGTATCTTTTTTTAATTATTGTCACTTTTTTTTATTTAATGAATGTATTTTTTATTAATCGTGTTTCAATATAATTAAATAATAAATTAATTAAATTTTATTAATTTAATTTTAGAAGATGTATATTTAAAAATGTAAAAAATGAATGTTTGAAGCCCCAGTTTGAAGCTCCGGGGCTTCAAACCCATTTTCAGTGCCCTATTGTGCCGCTTCCTAGCATGACAAAGGTTTTGATTCATTTATTATTGTGATTGTATTATTATTTATCTACTTTTATTAATGAAAAATATTTTATGCAAAATGAATATTTGTTCTATGTTCTCTGTCAACTCATTTGAAACGAAATGAGTAAAACTTTTAAACAAAAATAAAGGAGAAATATGAAAATAGCACTTTAAATTAATAGCACTTTAATACTCAAAATAGCAGTGCTATTAGTTTTGGAGATAAATTCCCTTTTTTGTCCTTAAATAAACATCTAATACTAAATTCTCCTAATTAGGTTAAAAAAAGCTTTACGGGCCAAACGTTATAGCGCAGCAGCAGCCGATCTCCCCACTCACGCGACGCAATAATCGTCGGGCACGCTTCCTCGTCACACCGCCAAACACAAAGCCGCAGCAGCTTCCGGAAGGAGACCCAGGGTTTCAATGGCAAGCGAAGATGCACTGGACGAGATCCCTCTAAGCAAAAGATTGGAAAAGATACAAGTATGCTTCGCTTTGGCATTGAATTTGATTCTAAAAAAATTTCTCTTACAAAGTTTAAAATTAGTTGTTTTTTTCGGTTGGCATGGGGGTTTTTGTTGAAGGTTCACTGCAATGTGTTTTTAAATTTTCTTCAGCACGTTAATTTTTCACTGCAGTACGTTTTGGCATTTTATTTTCACTGCAATGTGTTCCCTTCCTTCTATGCAGTGTGTTTTATTTTTTAAGCTTGGCAGTGTTTTTTTTATTAACGTATTGAATTTTTTTGGACTTTGTTGAACTCGTTTAGGTTTTTGTGTGAATGTTAGACGTAATTCATAGTTTAGAATATGTTTTTGCTTCGTTTTGGCATTGAATTTGCTTCTAAAAAAATTTCTCTTACACAGTTTAGAATAAATTTTTTTCCTTGGGGTGGCAGGGGGTTTTGTTGAAGGTTCACTGCAATGGGTTTTTAAATTTTCTTCAGTGTGTTTTTATTTTCTGCAGTGTGTTTTTTGTTTCCATTTGGTTCTATGCAATGTGATTTAATTTTTAAGCTTGGCAGTGTTTTTTTTATTGACGTGTTGAATTTATTTGGCTTTGTTGAACTCGTACGGGCAATTTTTGTGAATGTTAGACGTAATTCAAAGTTTAGAATAAGTTTTTGCTTCGTTTTGACATTGAATTTGCTTCTAAAAAATTCTCTTACAAAGTTTAGAATAAGTCTTTTTTCGGGTTGGCAGGGGGGTTTTTGTAGTAGATTCACTGCAATGTGTTTTTTAATTTTCCTTAATGTGTTCTTATTTTCTGCAATGTGTTTGTTGTTTCCCATAGGTTCTATGTAGTGTGTTTTAATTTTTTAAGCTTGGCAATGTTTTTTGATTAACGTATTGAATTTATTTTGGCTTTGTTGAACTCGTTTAGGTTTTTTTGAGAATGTTAGACGTAATTCAAAGTTTAGAATACATTTTTGCTTCTTTTTGGCATTGATTCCATGGAAGTCACCTCAATACGCGTTTACCACGTTCCGGCTTAGGCTAAGGGCGGTGATTCCATGGAAGTCATCTTCCATGACGAACACGTAATTTCTTAATAGAGTGTATTAAACAATAGTTACGTTGGAAGTTTGCTACGGGAGATTGATGACTCCTTTTGTGGCTGCAATGAATGGTAAGGTCCACAGCTCTAATGACCCCTTATTGGCGGAGGTGGTGGCTTGTAGGGTTTAGGGTTTATCTTGGTTGAAGGATCGCGGAGTTCGTGAGGTGGAGAACTTTTCATACTATGAAGTTTTGGTTGGCGCACTGAGAGAAGGATGCAATTTTATGTGTTCAACATCTTGATTATATTCTTGATGTGTGTCGTTCTACGTTTTTACATGTTTCGTTTCATTTTGTTCATTAATGCAAGATTAATGAGGTGACTCATGCTACGGCAAAAAAATGCTTCTGTTATCCCTCCGGATTTTGTAACTCATATACTTGTTTGATATTAGAGTATTGTTTTCCTCCAAAAAAAAATGAAATTTTTAGATTTATGTTATTGAAAACTTTTAAAATTTTATATTATTATACTAATACGCAATTCAAATTGAGATTAGTTAAGACTCAAAGCTTGTTCATTTGAACTTGAAACAGTCAAACTGGACAAATAAACTAGGATGGAGGTAGTATAATATGGAAAGAGCATCAAAGAGGATAAAGATTGTGTTTAAAAATATTCTTTGAATTTCTGTTTTGCTAAAACACATTTTTCCAATCTGTTTATAATTATAAATTACTCGACTATAGTGCTTACAAGGTCCATATTTTTTATTTTTGAAAATACTTTCTAAGTTTCTATATTATTTTAAGCACCTACTAGGTTTTTATATATTATATATTTTTGAAAGTGTTTTGTAGGTTCATAAGTTGTCATTATTTTTAAAGGGTTCATATACTTTCTAACTGAAGCATTAGTACTCCCTTCAAAGGCTTTTTCAGATCAAGTATGCCAAAATTGTTTGATCAACATGCACATGTTGTTCAAATTTGGTATGGAAAATGTTGCTGAAGGGACCACTCAAAATAATTTAGAGACCTGTGGACCGTTTTCTAAAATGTATGGAAACCAAGTAAACGCTTAAAATAATTCGGAAAAACTTGGAAACCACTTTCAAAAAAAACATAGGTACTTGGTGAGCAATTTACCCAAATTACTCATATACTACTAAACTCGAAAGTAGGCTCTAAATATACTTTCAATCAAAGCTAAACTGTCTGTTTTTTCTGGTGATATTGACGCTATTACAAAGTCGGTATCCGTTTGTCTTGTTTTCAACTTAATAACGGACAAAGCTTTCACCGGAGGTCAAACCTGGGTGAACTTTTTCATGAATCCTGGGGAGTAGACTTCTTCCCTAAAAACTATCTATTTTTTATTTTGATTTATAATTTATGTTTTTGATCAATCTATCACACCCTCACAACCCTAAACGCCTCCTTAAGTTAACCAAAGAATTTTTTTATTGAATAAAGTATGGGATACACCAAAATGGTGTACCTACAACATGTACACACCATGCAAACAAAAATGTTGGGCTTGTGTTACAAATGTATACACCAAAATGGTGTACCCTTGCTTGGTGTATTTTTATTTCCTCAAAAAAGAAAGCAAAACAAAGACAAACCATGACCGCAAACATCACTTTCCCTAGACCCGCGTATTAAAAAGTAAAATTTGTACTAAATAGTACTAAAGCATATATATATTCTTTCTTAATATAGTAAGTAAACTTTTTTATTTCCTAAATAGTACTTAAATAATATATAGTGGTGGAAAGAATGTCAACTGATGGTGAATATTTAGTTTGAACAATGTCCAGTGATGGCGAGCATTGACTTAAATACTACATTGAGAAATACAAACATATAATACTGAATTCCCCTAAGTATTCCCTCCGTTCTTAAAAGAATGTCACATTTACTTTTTCAACCATTGCGAGAACTTTTGTTTATTTTTTTATTAGTTATTTGATAAAATAAAATATTCTTGATATCTCTTATTTCAAAAACTGTTTTTAAATATGTAAATTTTATTTTTTTTTCCTTTCTATATCAATATTTAAATAAAATGAATAGAAAAGATAGTAAATGGAAATATGGCCAAACAGGGAAGGAGGTAAGTATATACTTACCGAAAGTAGCAGATCTACATGTGGTCCTGTTACCGGTAAATGCATTCCGTCTCCGATCAGCATCAAAGTCCACGTCTTACCGATCAAATTCCACTCCCTTCTTCACGTAGAGCGGGAAACTCGAGTCCGCGGCGGTTGCAGTTCCCTATTCCGTCGAGCGCCACCACCGCGTCCGGCTTCACTCCGGCCGCCTGAAGAAGTCTCCGGTCACTTCGTCTTACCCGATCGGGGAGGTTTTCTCTCAAATGCCCGCCTATCCGCTAGGGCGGTTTTCCCGGACGGAGGAACGGTACCTATGGGGGTCTTCAACGACCGCGTGAAATCGAGGCCGGAATAAGGTCGAATCCGGACAGGGAAGACAAGCACAGGACAGCCAAACAGAGCGCCGCCGTCGCCGCCTAGCAGCAGAGGCCCAAGGAGAAGCCATTTCAAATTGGTGGAATAATGATACAAATCACACCATATATTTGTTAACTGAAAAAGCAGTGAAGATTGAAGAAGGGGTGTTAAAATTGAATGAATGTTGAAAGAATGAGTTTTTGGTTTTCAAGAACCATATAATTGTGATCGGAGAGGTGTCAGGGGATTGATGAATGCGCAGTAAAGAAAAGCCTTCTTCCTCTGCGGATCAAACGCCGACCCGTGACCCTCCATCTCCATCAACCCCTTTCTCTTGCATATAGATCTAAAAATTGAAAATAGAAACGGAAACAAAGGGGAAGTCGTCGGCGGAGATCTATTCGGATCTGAGGGATCTGCCCTCCTTCTACTCAGATCGCCACTTACCTCGTTAAGCTACAAACAACAACTCGTTAATATAGGTCGCCTCTCCACCACAAAAAGTTAACATTAATTTTTGTTACGGTGTATTATTCTTGTTCTTTTTGAAATTCCTCTTATTTTTTTAAATGAGTTTTTACATCTTATCATTTTTCAAAGTTGAGTCTTAAAATAAAAATGATAATTTTATCAATCATCTTTTAACCTTTATATATAAATTTGAAAATTAGCCTTCTAAAATTGTAACATTCGGCGTGCTTTTTGGACAACCTTTTTAACTTGTCATGTCAACTAGTAACATTTACAAAATTAGTTTTTAAATCTTGTACTTGTTATACACAAATTTCTCAATATAATCAAGCCTTAAAACCTTTATATTTTAATTCATTATTAGAATTCTATGATGCATAGGATCAGATTATGTATATATCTCGTCTTATTCTACACTATTCATTTTTTTTATATTGTAAATAGGAATGCTAATGATAAGAATAATAATAGTGCCCGTAGTATATTAATAATAATAATAATAATAATAATAATAATTACACTCCTTATTAATAATAATAAATATAAGAATAGTATGTAATAATACAAATAATAATGATAAATATAATAAAAAATATAATATATAAATAATAATAGCAACGCAATAAGTTATTTTCAAAATCATATTATCGATCCTTCCAATTTGCAACTCCTCAAGTGGCAACGCTAGTTTTTAAGAAATTGTCAACAAGTTACGAGAACCGCCAGCTCAACGCCTATCCTATCCCAGAGAATGAATGCGACAGCGCTCACGAAACGCAACCTTTCCAAAAATTTAAAAAAAGAACTGATATTCAAAAACTAACAAATAAATTTATTCTAAGAACGGATAGATTTGTAACACTAAACGAAATTACATTTCAATTTTTTTTTCTTTGAACTAATACTAATTGGAGCGATATCCTAACTTTTTAACAAAGAAAAACAAATATATAAAAGAAAAATGGATTTTTATGGGCGCATTTATTTCATTGAGCATTAATTTTATTCCGTATACTCCGTATATTTTAAAAAATTCTACGTCGAATAACAAGTATGTTTCATTTTAAAATTAGTATTTTTTTGTTTTAAAATTATTATTTTCCATTTCTAACTTTGTAAAAATTTATAGATTCGTCTCACAAAAATTATTATTTTCTATTTATAACTTTGTAAAATGATAAAGACTTAGTATTTGAGTATTTATGTATAAGAAATTAAATACTACTTCCTCCATCCAAAATTATAATACATGTTTACTATCACAGGGTCAAACTTCATTCATTTTCTTTTTTTATTTTCGTTAGTAATTTGATAAAATAAAACATTATCGTCACTACTAGTTTTGTAGATTTTTTGATGTAGTATTTTGATATGTAATTTTTATTTTTTTAACTCTATACCATTTGTCATATAAAATGATTTAGAAATAACTTCAGTCAAACATCGTAAACCGAAACAGGCGTTATAAAATGGGACGGAGGGAGTAGTTGGTATTCATCATCGAAATATCTATAGTATAATACTCCATCCGTTCCGGAGTATTCGTCCAGTTTTGATTTTTAGAACTATTTATCAAAGCACTTTGACTCATCAAATTCTCTCAATTTGTAAGCCTAAATATAGTCATGTGTGATCTTGTTTGATTTGGCTTAACATATAGATTATTGATATATAGATTCTATAATTTTTTAATATACAAATTACAAAATAAAATAGATTAAAAAAGTGTACTGGATGGTATGTAAAAATGAAAGTGGACATTTACTCTAGGACGGAGGGAGTAATATATAATTTTTATAATTTTTAAATATACAAATTATAAGATAAAATGAATTAAAGAAGTGTATTGGATGATATATTAAAATAAAAGTAGACAAATACTCTGGGACGGAGTTAGTATTAATTATCATAAATGTAATTAGTTATAAATTAAAATTTTAAAAATTTTAGAATGTGCGATTTACTTTGACATCTATGTCAAAACGCTATAAATATCTATAGTATAATATTAACTATCATAAATGTAATTAGTTTTAGGGACATAACATACAGTGTATAGTAAGTAGTATTACATCAACTTGATACGGGTGACGTCCCCTCGTTTGAGTTGCGGATAGTTGTTTCAATAATGCATAGTGGCAGCTTATTAGCGTTTTGACAAGCAAATAGCACATAGCTCAAACATCATTGTTCAAAACATTAAATTCTTGTAGAGATTAACTAATGAAAGCAAACTTCAGCCATGGCACATTACATATTTGGCTTCCAGGATTCTCAATTCTCTGAAGAAGAAACTGCACGCTCCCCACATCCTGCAATTAGTATCAAGGATTCACACATCAATTTATTGTAATGAAGTAACCAAAATAAAAACAAAACACACAAACAAGATACATCAACCCAATAAGCAACAAAGTTACCTTCTTCGATTTGAATGACAGCAACCACCTGATCATGTGAGACATCTCTAAGTAAACCTAGCAGGAATTGGTCCTCGGCTACCATCTCAAGAATCGCAGCTTGGAAAGTTATGTGTTCATTGGAAAGCTCGTCGATCACTGTAAACGTCAAGTAATTGAATTGATGAAAGCTTGGGATCAAACTCAACTTGTCAACACTGACCAACCTCAGATCCTGCAAGAAGAGTCGTTTGGATATAAGGACCATTGAGTAGAGAGAACGATGGAGAATCTGACTCAATAATAGAACAAACCAGAGCACCTTTTTGCAGCAACTCTTCATGGCAAATTCAGAATTGTTTTTGAACAGTAACTTATCCGCAGGTGGCTTATCCCAGTGAAAAAGCCCACTGCAAGAACAGCCACTTGTGTACCCAGGGTGATCAAACATCTAAAATTTAATCAACTTACTAGTTAGTTAGCTAGCAAAAAAAACACACAGAATGAGCTGAAGAAGAGACTCGCGACTTCTCTTGATCTTGGCAAAGAAAAAGTAGCAATACCCATAACTAAAAATCTTAAAAAGAATCAAACAATGTAAAATTCTTGGCAGATAAAGAGCAGGCAAAAATGTCGTAAATCGACATAACCAAGATTCAAGAACACGAGTAGGAAGCTACTTTTTCTTAGTCGATGGCTATCACTAAGATTACTTTTTTTTTATAGAGGAGCTCACTCTTGGGTAATGTTTTCCTATCAACAGACAGCTTCTGAGATCATGAAATGAGGGTAATTCAAATGGCTAAGTGCTCTATACTTGCAAAAGCAAACACCACACAACATAGAGAGTAGCACGACAACGTATACCACTCTTAGGATTAAACGTTTAAAACCCTGCCTGGCCATGCCGAGGCATAGCTAGGCCTGGCAAATGAGATCAGATACAGATCACCGGAACCGAATGACCCGGGAGCGAATGGCCCAAAAACTGAAGAACTGATTTATGACCAAACACCCAAAATGACCCAAACCAAGCCAAAACCAAACGGAATGTATTCCCACCCGATTTAGGATCCGAATCAAATTAAATCGGAAGTTGGAACCGATTAGACCCATATCCTATAGGACCTCAGACCGATTAGACTCGGAAAAAATCAAATTTAAAACACATTAATCTCAAATTCGATCAAATCTAAAACTTAATAAAGTCATAGCTCGTTAACAAAGCCAACACACAATATCAAGGACATGAACCCAACAATAATTAATAAAGAGGGAAACCTCACAGACTTACACATTAACAGTCGGTAGAGTTCAATGATACAAACGATAACTGTCTCTGCGACAGAGCACACATACAACTATACAAGTATGGAAAACACACGAGAAATGAAAAATTAGCAAAAGCCAGACCTCATTTGAAGTAAATAACCAAACTTTAACCTATCTTTCTCATTTTTTTTCAAAAATGAGAAAAATTTACCTTCAAATATTAAGAAAGATCTGACCAATAAATTGGAGGTACACTTCTTGTTAATTTTGGCATCGAGGGTGGGTGGAGTGGGTCGCCGTAGGTAAGTCCAGTGGGGAGAAGAAGAGGAAAGAGATTAAGGAGCAGGAGTAGAAGAAAAACGAACAAAAAATATTTCAAGAAGGAGAAGATCGAAGAAGAAGAAGAAGAAGAAGAAGAAGAAGAGTTCAAGAAAAAGGAAAATAACAAGAAATAGGAAGCTGAGGTGGGAGAGGCGCTGCATCAATGAGACAAAAGAAATAGGGTAAGAATTGAAGGCTATTTCGGACCTTTTCCTAATGATTTCATCTCTCAACGAAAACTGGTTCCATTAGTGTAAACAACAAATGTTCTGCTCCTACTTCAGTAATTTTCTCATTGATATAAGCAATATCAAAGGTTTTTTCTCCCAAAAAAATGGAAACCATAGAAGATATGAGTGCTTTGCCAGCGAGATTGGAAGTACATAGTGTACTATAATAAGGCTTCAAAAAGACTGGGACGGAGGGAGTAAGATAGAAGTTGAATTAGAATATTAATTTGTGTAGTTGAATACAAATATATATTCATCATCGTACGAAATGAATATATGCATATTTGTATTTGCATTCGTTTTGCTTTATTTATATACTTATTCTTATTCATTTTTGCGAATACAAATCACGGATCAAATCAAAATTATTTGTTTTGTTTAAAACCCTAGTCTGGAGCACCAAAAAAAGCCACAAGTGGTACATGTTTTAAGGCTAATTCTGGGATTGATATTTCTCTCAAAGATTGCAATTGGGTTTCTGTCCCACCTGATCACACCTCTTTCTTCTTCACCCTTTTTTGGCCTTGCGGCAGTTACAAATCCAAGGTACTAGTTACTAGAAAGTAGAGCATTGAATCTTCAAGGGTTTACAAGATAAAACATTCTCTGAGAGGATGAAGTTGAGTGATGCGATAGTAATAGCTTATTGATTCCAAAATTGAAGCAAGACAACCAGAGCTGATCAGGTAAAACAATCGCGGAATACATTCACTAATTCAATGAAAATGGAAATACCTGCAAGGTTCTGCGATCAAGGCATTGCTCCTGAAAAATACGAACAAGAGAGGGATAGGCACCCATTTGTTTGATAAATTCATTATCAACGGTAGTAATAGTGGCACCGGAGATGTCCAAGGGATCGGGTGGACCGGAAAAGATATTGATGACTACCGGATTCATTCTAAAATCCCTTTCCACAAATTCATCATCGGGACGTATCACTCTGATTGCCTTCTTCGGCATCTTTTTCGGCGACCATGTGTCATCTTTCTCATCGAAGCCGACGCCCTTCTCTCTATAGCTCCCTTCTAACGCCATAACCCTAAGTTTTCCGGCCAGAAATTGAAGGACCCCTCAATTGACCATTTGCAAAACCCCCCATTTTGGTTCCAATTTCGATTTTAGGGTTTTTTCGAGTAGAAAAATTCAGATTCGAGAAGTTACAGACAAAATTAGACAAAATGGTTTGGATATTATTGATCCTCGTCTCAAGACGAAGAGAATGACATTGGTCTCGCCGGAATCGGAAAAAGTTCATTTTCCGGCGATTTTGACCGGCGGGCGGCGGCGACGGGGCCTGGAAGAAAAGAAAAGAAGAAATGGGGTCAAATTGAAAATTTTAAAATATATAAAATTCGAATTTGGCCCTAATGACCGGAAGTTAACCTAGAAACGGGCTAATGGCTCATTAGTGAAAGGATTGTGTAAGTTCAGGGATTTTTGTGAAAGGATTTGAAGTTCAGGTACCACTTCGAAATTCCAACTAAAGTTCAGGTACCATTAGTGAAATTTACCCTTTATACTCCTCCCCATATAACTTTATCTTTTTTCCCTTCCCTCTCAAAGGATTTTTCTTAATACCTAATCCCTATTACATCTTATTTATTCATTATTAATATATTAATGAAATCCATACTTTATTTAAAAATAAATGAGGTCAACACATGGTTTTTCCGTCCAAAAAATATGACAATTACAAGGAAGAAATACGAAAATAACACTTTAATACTCAAAATAGCAGTGATATTAGTTTTGGAGATAAATTCCCTTTTTTGTCGTTAAATAAACAACTAATACTAAATTCTCCTTATTAGGTTAAAAAAAGCTTTACGACCAAACGCTATAGCGCAGCAGCAGCCGATCTTCCCACTCACGCGACGCGATAATCGTCGGGCACGCTTCCTCGTCACACTGCTGAACGCAAAGCCGCGGCAGCTTCTGGAAGGAGACCCAGGGTTTCAATGGCAAACGAAGATGCACTGGACAAGATCCCTCTAAGCAAAATATTGGAGAAGATACAGGTATGCTTCGTTTTGGCATTATATTTGATTCTAAAAAAATTTCTCTTACAAAGTTTAGAATTAGTTGTTTTTTCCGGTTGGCATGGGGGTTTTTGTTGAAGTTCACTGCAATGTGTTTTTAAATTTTCTCTAGTACGTTAATTTTTCACTGCAGTACGTTTTGGCATTTTATATTCACTGCAATGTGTTCCCTTCCTTCTATGCAGTACGTTTTGGTATCGGAGCCTAACTCGTGTCCAAACTTAACCGTTTGAGAGTAAAGCGATCATGGGTTCTTCTTCTAGAAATCTTTATGCAGGAATTGGAGAAGGTCAATCAACCTCGAGGCCACCGCTCTTTGATGGCACCAACTACACATATTGGAAAGAGCGGATGAGAATTTATATCAGCTCAACCAACTTTCAGTTGTGGTTGGTCATCAAGAATGGCGAGGAAACTCCCATGAAGAAAGTCGATGAAAAACTCGTCCCAAAGACTGAGGACAAATTTGATGCCGAAGACATCAAAAAGGTGGAGAACTACGCCAAGGCTATCAATATGCTGTACTGTGCCGTCAATCCTAATGATTATCGTAAGATTTCTTGCTGCACCACTGCCAAAGAAATGTGGGACAAGCTAGAGGTCACATATGAAGGTACGGACCAAGTTCGGGAAGCCAAAATTGACTTCCTAACGCAAGAGTACGAGATGTTCAGGATGAAGGAAGGAGAAAAGATCGATGACATGTTCGATTGGTTTTCAAAAATCATCAACGACCTTCACGCTCTCAAGAAGACGTACACCAACAGGGATCTCGTGAGGAAAATCCTGCGAAGCCTCACACCCGAATGGAGATCAAAGGCAGACGCAATCTATGAATCCATCGGAGTCTCAAATGTCACCATCGACGGGCTAAGAGGTAATCTCAAAACTTATGAATCCACTATCCTAACCCCGTCTTTGGATGAACAAAAGAAGAA